CAGTCAGACCCAGTGTTGACATGGTGCAAGACGCTTCTCGGGGTGCGTCTTGCTTGGGCCTCTCTCCTGGAGGCGCTCAGTCAGACCGAGTGCTAACATGTGGCAAGACGCTCCTCGGGGCGCGTCTTGCTTGGGCTTCTCTCCTGGAGGCCCTCAGTCAGACTCATTGTTGACATGTGGCTAGACGCTCCTCGGGGCGCGTCTTGCTTGGGCCTCTCTCCTGGAGGCGCTCAGTCAGACCGAGTGCTGACATAAGGCAAGACGCTCCTCGGGGCGCGTCTTGCTTGGGCCTCTCTCCTGGAGGCGCTCAGTCAGACCCAGTGGTGACATGTGAGAAGACACTCCTCGGGGCGCGTCTTGCTTGGGCCTCTCTCCTGGAGACGCTCAGTCAGACCCAGTGTTGACACATGACAAGACGCTCCTCGGGGCGCGTCTTGCTTGGGCTTCTCTCATGGAGGCCCTCAGTCAGACCCATTGTTGATATGTGGCAAGACGCGTCTCGGGGTGCATCTTGCTTGGGCCTCTCTCCTGGAGGCGCTCAGTCAGACCGAGTGCTAACATGTGGCAAGACGCTCCTCGGGGCGCGTCTTGCTTGGGCTTCTCTCATGGAGGCCCTCAGTCAGACCCATTGTTGATATGTGGCAAGACGCTCCTCGGGGCGAGTCTTGCTTGGGCCTCTCTCCTGGAGGTGCTCAGTCAGACCCAGTGTTGACATGGTGCAAGACGCTCCTCGGGGCGCGTCTTGCTTGGGCTTCTCTCTTGGAGGCCCTCAGTCAGACCCATTGTTGACATGTGGCAAGACGCTCCAAGGGGCGCGTCTTGCTTGGGCTTTTCTCCTGGAGGCCCTCAGTCAGACCCATTGTTGACATGTGGCAAGACGCTCCTCGGGGCGCGTCTTGCTTGGGCCTCTCTCCTGGAGGCGCTCAGTCAGACCGAGTGCTGACATAAAGCAAGACGCTCCTCGGGGCGCGTCTTGCTTGGGCTTTTCTCCTGGAGGCCCTCAGTCAGACCCATTGTTGACATGTGGCAAGACGCTCCTCGGGGCGCGTCTTGCTTGGGCTTCTCTCATGGAGGCCCTCAGTCAGACCCATTGTTGATATGTGGCAAGACGCTCCTCGGGGCGAGTCTTGCTTGGGCCTCTCTCCTGGAGGTGCTCAGTCAGACCCAGTGTTGACATGGTGCAAGACGCTCCTCGGGGCGCGTCTTGCTTGGGCTTCTCTCTTGGAGGCCCTCAGTCAGACCCATTGTTGACATGTGGAAAGACGCTCCTCGGGGCGCGTCTTGCTTGGGCATCTCTCCTGGAGTCCCTCATTCAGACCCATTATTGACCTGTGGCAAGACGCTCCTCGGGGCGCGTCTTGCTTGGGCTTCTCTCCTGGAGGCCCTCAGTCAGACCCATTGTTGACATGTGGCAAGACGCTCCTCGGGGCGCGTCTTGCTTGGGCCTCTCTCCTGGAGGCGCTCAGTCAGACCGAGTGCTGACATAAGGCAAGACGCTCCTCGGGGCCCGTCTTGCTGGGGCCTCTCTCCTGGAGGCGCTCAGTCAGACCCAGTGCTTACATGTGGCAAGACGCTCCTCGGGGCGCGTCTTGCTGGGGCTTTTCTCCTGGAGGCGTTCAGTCAGACCGAGTGCTGACATGTGGCAAGACACTCCTCGGGACGCGTCTTGCTTGGGCTTCTCTCCTGGAGGCCCTCAGTCAGACTCATTGTTGACATGTGGCAAGACGCTTCTCGGGGTGCGTCTTGCTTGGTACTCTCTCCTGGAGGCGCTCAGTCAGACCGAGTGCTAACATGTGGCAAGAAGCTCCTCGGGGCGCGTCTTGCTTGGGCTTCTCTCCTGGAGGCCCTCAGTCAGACCCATTGTTGACATGTGGCAAGACGCTCCTCGGGGCGCTTCTTGCTTGGGCCTCTCTCCTGGAGGCGCTCAGTCAGACCGAGTGCTAACATTTGGCAAGACGCTCCTCGGGGCGCGTCTTGCTTGGGCTTCTCTCCTGGAGGCCCTCAGTCAGACCCATTGTTGACATGTGGCAAGACGCTCCTCGGGGCGCATCTTGCTTGGGCCTCTCTCCTGGAGGCCCTCAGTCAGACCCATTGTTGATATTTGGCAAGACGCTCCTCGGGGCGCGTCTTGCTGGGGCTTCTCTCCTAGAGGAGTTCAGTCAGACCGAGTGCCGACATGTGGCAAGACGCTCCTCGGGACGCGTCTTGCTTGGGCTTCTCTCCTCGAGGCCCTCAGTCAGACTCATTGTTGACATGTGGCAAGACGCTCCTCGGGGCGCGTCTTGCTTGGGCCTCTCTCCTGGAGGCGCTCAGTCAGACCGAGTGCTGACATAAGGCAAGATGCTCCTCGGGGCGCGTCTTGCTGGGGCCTCTCTCCTGGAGGCGCTCAGTCAGACCCATTGCTTACATGTGGCAAGACGCTCCTCGGGGCGCATCTTGCTTGGGCCTCTCTCCAGGAGGCGCTCAGTCAGACCCAGTGGTGACATGTGACAAGACGCTCCTCGGGCGCGTCTTGCTTGGGCTTCTCTCATGGAGGCCCTCAGTCAGACCCATTGTTGATATGTGGCAATACGCTCCTCGGGGCGCGTCTTGCTGGGGCTTCTCTCCTAGAGGCGTTCAGTCAGACCGAGTGCCGACATGTGGCGAGACGCTCCTCGGGACGCGTCTTGCTTGGGCTTCTCTCCTCGAGGCCCTCAGTCAGACTCATTGTTGACATGTGGCAAGACGCTCCTCGGGGCGCGTCTTGCTTGGGCCTGTCTCTTGGAGAACCTCAGTCAGACCCATTGTTGACATGTGGCAAGACGCTCCTCGGGGCGCGTCTTGCTTGGGCTTCTCTCCTGGAGGCCCTCAGTCAGACCCATTGTTGACATGTGGCAAGACGCTCCTCGGGGCGCGTCTTGCTTGGGCCTCTCTCCTGGAGGCGCTCAGTCAGACCGAGTGCTGACATATGGCAAGACGCTCCTCGGGGCGCGTCTTGCTGGGGCCTCTCTCCTGGAGGAGCTCAGTCAGACCCAGTGCGTACATGTGGCAAGACGCTCCTCGGGGCGCGTCTTGCTGGGGCTTCTCTCCTGGAGGCGTTCAGTCAGACCGAGTGCTGACATGTGGCAAGACACTCCTCGGGACGCGTCTTGCTTGGGCTTCTCTCCTGGAGGCCCTCAGTCAGACTCATTGTTGACATGTGGCAAGACGCTTCTCGGGGTGCGTCTTGCTTGGGCCTCTCTCCTGGAGGCGCTCAGTCAGACCGAGTGCTAACATGTGGCAAGACGCTCCTCGGGGCGCGTCTTGCTTGGGCTTCTCTCCTGGAGGCCCTCAGTCAGACTCATTGTTGACATGTGGCAAGACGCTCCTCGGGGCGCGTCTTGCTTGGGCCTCTCTCCTGGAGGCGCTCAGTCAGACCGAGTGCTGACATAAGGCAAGACGCTCCTCGGGGCGCGTCTTGCTTGGGCCTCTCTCCTGGAGGCGCTCAGTCAGACCCAGTGGTGACATGTGGCAAGACGCTCCTCGGGGCGTGTCTTGCTTGGGCCTCTCTCCTGGAGACGCTCAGTCAGACCCAGTGTTGACACGTGACAAGACGCTCCTTGGGGCGCGTCTTGCTTGGGCTTCTCTCATGGAGGCCCTCAGTCAGACCTATTGTTGATATGTGGCAAGACGCGTCTCGGGGTGCATCTTGCTTGGGCCTCTCTCCTGGAGGCGCTCAGTCAGACCGAGTGCTGACATAAAGCAAGACGCTCCTCGGGGCGCGTCTTGCTGGGGCCTCTCTCCTGGAGGCGCTCAGTCAGACCCAGTGCTTACATGTGGCAAGACGCTCCTCGGGGCGCGTCTTGCTTGGGCCTCTCTCCTGGAGGCGCTCAGTCAGACCCAGTGGTGACATGTGGCAAGACGCTCCTCGGGGCGCGTCTTGCTTGGGCCTCTCTCTGGGAGACGCTCAGTCAGACCCAGTGTTGACACGTGACAAGACGCTCCTCGGGGCGCGTCTTGCTTGGGCTTCTCTCATGGAGGCCCTCAGTCAGACCCATTGTTGATAAGTGGCAAGACGCTCCTCGGGGCGCGTCTTGCTTGGGCCTCTCTCCTGGAGGCGCTCAGTCAGACCGAGTGCTGACATGTGGCAAGACGCTCCTCGGGGCGCATCTTGCTTGGGCTTCTCTCCTGGAGGCCCTCAGTCAGACCCATTGTTTACATGTGGCAAGACGCTCCTCGGGGCGCATCTGTCATGATCTGAGGTAATGATTTAACCCAAGACATGCAGAATCAACACACTGGAGCAGGATGTGAAAAAATAAAGATTTATTTGGTAACTAGAACTTAGGGTGCACTGGAAATCCAGTGAATGGGTAAACGGGAGCAGCGTCTGAGGGAAGGGAAACAGAGGTGAGTCCTTGATTGAAACTGTAGTGTGGTAGAGGATGAGTCTGGTAGGAGGACTTACAGATGTAGCGTGATGGAGGATCTCCAGGGAGGGGTGAGCTGGGAGAGTGACTGAGTATTCCGGGGTGATGAAGATCGGCAAGGTTTTACAACCGGAGGGAAGGAGAGAGAGAGCCTGTAGTGCTGGGAGCAGTTAGTGCCGTGAGGAGGACGGGAACCGGGAGTGAAGTCCAGACGTAGTATGGTCGAGTAGTAAATCCAAAAGGTCTCAGCGAGGAGGTGGTGTATGGAAAGATGACTGAGCCTGAGACAAAACGAGAGCAAAATCTGAGCAAAAGATCGCTAGCAAAAACACGTTACAAAAGTTCAAGGCTAAGGTTTCAAAGTTCAAAGTCTAAGATCCGACAGTTCAAAGTCAAGGTTTCAAAATCGAGTTAACACTGTGGCTGGGACTCTACCAGTAGGCGTAATCATCCGGCGCTTAGCAGTGTCCTCCGTCCTCCTTATGAAGGCCACCCACTGATCAGCTGATCGATTGCAGCTGCTGCTCTCTCTCCTGAAAACAGAACTCACAAGCCAGGTGATGTCATGGTGTGTGTGGAGTGCTCACCTCCCAGCTCACAACAGTACCCCCCCCCCCCCCCCCTCAACGGACGCCTCCAGGCGTCCTAGCCGCAGCAGCCTCATAATCCCGAATGAGGGAAGGATCCAGGATGGCAGAGCGTGGCACCCAGGAGCGTTCCTCGGGACCGTAGCCCTCCCAGTCCACAAGGTACTGCATACCCCGACCGCGGGGACGGGAGTCCAGGATCCTGCGAACCGTGTAGATCAAGTCCCCCTGGTGCAGGCGAGCCGGAGGAGGAGGTGCAGGCACGGGACAGAGAGGACTAGTGACCACAGGCTTGACCAGGGAGACGTGGAACACCGGGTGCACACGTAGGGTCCGAGGGAGGTCCAGGCGGACCGTAGTGGGGGACGGAACAGCCAAAACTTTAAAGGGACCAATGAACCGGGGAGATAACTTACGGGAAGAGGCCTTCAGTGGAATGTTCCTGGACGATAACCACACAGACTGCCCTGGGACGTAGACTGGGGCCGGACGCCGTCGGCGATCAGCTATCTGCTTGTTCCTCTGTGCAGTGCGATCCAGCGCCGCCCTGGTGGTGGTCCAGGCACGACGGGCACAACGGAGGAATTGGGGAACGGAGGAGCCAGGCGTAGATTGTGCGGGGAAAAGCGAGGGTTGAAAACCAAGGGAAGCCTCAAACGGGGACTGACCTGTAGCTGTAGAGATGTGGCTGTTATGGGCATACTCCACCCAGGGAAGATGGGTGCTCCAGGACGACGGGTGAATGGAGCAGACACAGCGCAGCATGGCCCCCAGCTCCTGGTTCATCCGTTCGCATTGGCCGTTGGTTTGGGGGTTGTGTCCGGAGGTAAGTGCCACTTTCGCCCCCAAGGCCTCTGCGAACTCCCTCCATACTTGGGACACGAACTGCGGACCCCGATCCGACAGGATCTCCTCCGGGATGCCATGGAGACGGAACACATGCTTAACCAGGAGCTGCGCTGTGCCTGTGGATGAAGGGAGAGATTTAAGGGGCACCAGGTGGCAAGCCTTTGAAAACCGGTCGACTATGGTAAGAATGGAGGTGAAACCGTGGGAGATGGGGAGACCACAGACGAAGTCCAGGGCGATGTGCGACCAAGGCCGTGAGGGAGTAGGCAGAGGCTGGAGTAGACCGGCTGGGAGGCGATGGTCCCCCTTGTGTTGGGAACAGGTGTGACAACCAGAAACATAGTCCTTGGTATCTTTAAAAATGGACGGCCACCAAAATGTACGTTTAATAAGGGCCACAGTGCGTGCCACCCCCGGATGTAAGGAGAACCGACCAGCATGAGCCCAGTGAATGACCTTGCCTCTAACAGATTGGGGAACAAACAGTTTACCCGGGGGGCCGTTGTCTGGACCAGGGTCAGTCTTAAGGGCCTCCAGTACCTGCTCCCGGATCTCCCAGGTGACGCTCCCTACCACACAGTTGGAGGGAAGGATGGTCGATGGTGGGTTATCCCGGTCTGGAGCATATTGTCTGGAGAGTGCGTCGGGTTTGGTATTCTTTGTACCGGGTCTGTAAGAGATCAGGAAATTAAACCGAGAAAAGAAAAGAGACCATCTGTACTGGCGTGGGTTTAAACGTTTGGCTTCCTTGAGGTAGATGAGGTTCTTATGGTCAGTCCAGATGATGAATGGTTGTTCAGCCCCCTCCAACCAATGTCTCCATTCCTCAATGGCCAGTTTCACAGCCAACAGCTCTCTGTCCCCTACGTCGTAACGGCTCTCAGTAGGTGTGAGGCGTCGTGAGAAGAATGCACAGGGATGCAGGCGTTTGTCCTCTTCAGCCACCTGGGAGAGCACAGCCCCCACACCAGTGTCCGAGGCATCCACCTCCAGTGTAAACTGACGTTGAGGGTCAGGCCGGTGTAGGATGGGTGCGTCGGCAAATCTCTTCTTCAGAACCTGAAAAGCGGATTCAGCTTCTGGGGACCAAACAAAAGCTCTGTTAATCGAGGTCAGCTGGGTCAGGGGTGCGGCGATTTGACTGAAGTTATGAATGAACCTCCGATAAAAATTAGCGAACCCCAGAAACCTCTGAAGCTGCTTTCTAGTCGTCGGAGTCGGCCACTCGGTCACCGCCTGCACCTTTTCAGGATCCGCCCTCAACCTACCACCCTCAATGACAAACCCCAAAAACTTGACGGTTGGGACGTGAAATTCGCACTTCTCTGCTTTTACGTATAGTCTGTTTTCGAGAAGGCGCTGGAGAACTGCTCTCACATGCCGGATGTGTTGCTCCGGGGTCTTAGAAAAGATCAGAATGTCATCCAAGTAAACTGTGACAAAGCGGTTAAGGAAATCACCCAGCACGGAGTTAACCAGGGATTGGAAGACTGCAGGGGCGTTAGTAAGTCCGAAGGGCATCACCAGATACTCGAAGTGACCCACTGGCGTTTTAAACGCCGTCTTCCATTCATCCCCCTCCTTCACCCGAACCAGGTGGTAAGCGTTCCGGAGGTCTAGTCGGGTGAAGATGGTGGAGTCCTGTACTGGTTCGAACGTGGATGAAAGTAGAGGCAGAGGATACTTGTTTTTAACCGTGATTTGGTTCAAACCTCTATAGTCAATGCAGGGCCTGAGGGAACCGTCCTTCTTAGGCACGAAAAAGAAGCCGGCACCCAGAGGGGAGGATGACGGTCGAATAGTGCCGGCTGCAAGACAGTCCTGGATGTACTCCTCCATGCTCTCTCTCTCCGGTTTGGACAGTTGGTACAAACGGCTGGAAGGCAGAGGGGCTCCGGGTAATAGATCTATGGCACAGTCAAACGGTCTGTGTGGGGGTAATGAAGAAGCACGGTCTTTACTAAAAACAAGTTTCAGATCATGGTAAACTTGTGGTACCGTAGCCAGATCGATGTTTTCTGCAGGGGGATTGACAGGTCCACGGCTAGGCAGAGCTGCGGAGCGCAGACACAACTGCGAGCACTCTGGGTCCCATCCAATGATCTTGTTCTCCCTCCAGTCGAGAATGGGGTTGTGGCGGACAAGCCATGAATGTCCTAGCACCAGTGGAGACTGAGGGGAAGGGAACACATAAAAAGTGAGAGTCTCCACATGGTTACCTGAAACCTGAAGGCGGAGAGGAACCGTCTGGAGAGTTATGGATGAGAGATTGCGGTTATCCAGGGAAGAGACAGAGCGAGGCGTAGAGAGCTTCGTTGTGGGAATTCCCCATTCCGTCACCAGTCGAGGGTCCAATAACGATTGCTCACACCCAGAATCCACTAGGGCTTCAAGAGGAATCTGCTTAGATTGATAAAACAAAGTGCATGGCAAAGAACACCGGGTCACAGAAGAAATCAGGTTACCGCCCACCAATAGACCCGGTCTTACCGGTGGGCGTGCCCCTTTTACCAGAGAGGGACAGTTGTTCACGACATGTCCCGCTATTCCACAATATAAACAGAGTCCCATCTTGCGTCGGTGCTCTTTTTCTTCCTGAGTGAGTTTGGCTCTGCCCATTTGCATGGGTTCGTCCTTGGGTAGGAGTTCGGGTGTGGAACGCCCCCTGGCCCCGGAGTAATGTTCTGGAACAGGAAGAGGGGTCACCAACTCCTCTCTTCTCATCTCGCGGTGACGCTTGTCTATTGACATGGCCAGCCTGATTAATTCAGCCAACGATTTGGGTTCGGGGCAAAGAGCCAGCTGGTTCCTGATCCTGTCATTCAGGGCCTCAGTGAACACCCCCATAAGGGCATCCTCATCCCAAGTCGTGCGTGCTGCTAAGATTCGAAAATCCACAGCCAGGTCTGCCACAGAACGTCTGCCTTGGGAGAGATTTATTAGTTTCCTCCTGATGTCAGAAACAGATTCCACACTGCCAAACGTCTGGGTGAATTCTGTCACAAAGTCATTAAAGAGTCCATGTAAAAATGAATCATTGTGGCTCTTGGCCTCAGCCCATCTTAAGGCTCTGCCCCGTAAAAGTCCAACAACATAGGAGATCTTGGCTGAATCAGATCTAAAAGCAGCAGGGCTACGTTCAAATGCCAATCTGCATTGAAGCAGGAAACTGTGACACTCCTCAAACTCACCTCCGAAGGTGGTTGTCGCCGGTGACGGGGCAACGCGGAAATGAGTCTCCTCTGAGGAGCTTGTAGCTTCAGCTCCATGAATGCTTGTAGCAGTGGTTGGATTTAACTGTGAATTCGAGGAGGATATGGAGGGACGAGTCGTAGAAATGGATTCATGCAGTTGCCGAACTATTGTCTCCAACTGCTGGCAGCGTTGGTTGGAATGGGTTAACTGCTCCATGAGTTTCGGGAGGATTTGTTCCTGCTGGGCTAATCTGTGAGAAAGAGAGGTGAGTATCGATTCTGCTGGGTTAACGTCTTGGCCGGATGATTCTGTCATGATCTGAGGTAATGATTTAACCCAAGACATGCAGAATCAACACACTGGAGCAGGATGTGAAAAAATAAAGATTTATTTGGTAACTAGAACTTAGGGTGCACTGGAAATCCAGTGAATGGGTAAACGGGAGCAGCGTCTGAGGGAAGGGAAACAGAGGTGAGTCCTTGATTGAAACTGTAGTGTGGTAGAGGATGAGTCTGGTAGGAGGACTTACAGATGTAGCGTGATGGAGGATCTCCAGGGAGGGGTGAGCTGGGAGAGTGACTGAGTATTCCGGGGTGATGAAGATCGGCAAGGTTTTACAACCGGAGGGAAGGAGAGAGAGAGCCTGTAGTGCTGGGAGCAGTTAGTGCCGTGAGGAGGACGGGAACCGGGAGTGAAGTCCAGACGTAGTATGGTCGAGTAGTAAATCCAAAAGGTCTCAGCGAGGAGGTGGTGTATGGAAAGATGACTGAGCCTGAGACAAAACGAGAGCAAAATCTGAGCAAAAGATCGCTAGCAAAAACACGTTACAAAAGTTCAAGGCTAAGGTTTCAAAGTTCAAAGTCTAAGATCCGACAGTTCAAAGTCAAGGTTTCAAAATCGAGTTAACACTGTGGCTGGGACTCTACCAGTAGGCGTAATCATCCGGCGCTTAGCAGTGTCCTCCGTCCTCCTTATGAAGGCCACCCACTGATCAGCTGATCGATTGCAGCTGCTGCTCTCTCTCCTGAAAACAGAACTCACAAGCCAGGTGATGTCATGGTGTGTGTGGAGTGCTCACCTCCCAGCTCACAACAGCATCTTGCTTGGGCCTCTCTCCTGGAGGCCCTCTGTCAGCCCCAGTGTTGACATGTGTCAAGACGCTCCTCGGGGTGCTTCTTGCTTGGGCCTCTCTCCTGGAGGCGCTCAGTCAGACCGAGTGCTGACACGTGGCAAGACGCTCCTCGGGGCGCGTCTTGCTTGGGCTTCTCTCCTGGAGGCCCTCAGTCAGACCCATTGTTGACATGTGGCAAGACACTCCTCGGGACGCGTCTTGCTTGGGCTTCTCTCCTGGAGGCCCTCAGTCAGACTCATTGTTGACATGTGGCAAGACACTCCTCGGGACGCGTCTTGCTTGGGCCTCTCTCCTGGAGGCGCTCAGTCAGACCCATTGGTGACATGTGGCAAGACGCTCCTCGGGGCGCGTCTTGCTTGGGCCTCTCTCCTGGAGACGCTCAGTCAGACCCAGTGTTGACACGTGACAAGACGCTCCTCGGGGCGCGTCTTGCTTGGGCTTCTCTCATGGAGGCACTCAGTCAGACCCATTGTTGATATGTGGCAAGACGCTCCTCGGGGCGCGTCTTGCTTGGGCCTCTCTCCTGGAGGCGCTCAGTCAGACCGAGTGCTGACATGTGGCAAGACGCTCCTCGGGGCGCGTCTTGCTTGGGCTTCTCTCCTGGAGGCCCTCAGTCAGACCCATTGTTTACATGTGGCAAGACGCTCCTCGGGGCGCATCTTGCTTGGGCCTCTCTCCTGGAGGCCCTCTGTCAGCCCCAGTGTTGACATGTGTCAAGACGCTCCTCGGGGTGCGTCTTGCTTGGGCCTCTCTCCTAGAGGAGTTCAGTCAGACCGAGTGCCGACATGTGGCAAGACGCTCCTCGGGACGCGTCTTGCTTGGGCTTCTCTCCTCGAGGCCCTCAGTCAGACTCATTGTTGACATGTGGCAAGACGCTCCTCGGGGCGCGTCTTGCTTGGGCCTCTCTCCTGGAGGCGCTCAGTCAGACCGAGTGCTGACATAAGGCAAGATGCTCCTCGGGGCGCGTCTTGCTGGGGCCTCTCTCCTGGAGGCGCTCAGTCAGACCCAGTGCTTACATGTGGCAAGACGCTCCTCGGGGTGCATCTTGCTTGGGCCTCTCTCCAGGAGGCGCTCAGTCAGACCCAGTGGTGACATGTGACAAGACGCTCCTCGGGGCTCGTCTTGCTTGGGCTTCTCTCATGGAGGCCCTCAGTCAGACCCATTGTTGATATGTGGCAATACGCTCCTCGGGGCGCGTCTTGCTGGGGCTTCTCTCCTAGAGGCGTTCAGTCAGACCGAGTGCCGACATGTGGCGAGACGCTCCTCGGGACGCGTCTTGCTTGGGCTTCTCTCCTCGAGGCCCTCAGTCAGACTCATTGTTGACATGTGGCAAGACGCTCCTCGGGGCGCGTTTTGCTTGGGCCTCTCTCCTGGAGGCGCTCAGTCAGACCCAGTGGTGACATGTGACAAGACGCTCATCGGGGCGCGTCTAGCTTGGGCCTGTCTCTTGGAGAACCTCAGTCAGACCCATTGTTGACATGTGGCAAGACGCTCCTCGGGGCGCGTCTTGCTTGGGCTTCTCTCCTGGAGGCCCTCAGTCAGACCCATTGTTGACATGTGGCAAGACGCTCCTCGGGGCGCGTCTTGCTTGGGCCTCTCTCCTGGAGGCGCTCAGTCAGACCGAGTGCTGACATAAGGCAAGACGCTCCTCGGGGCGCGTCTTGCTGGGGCCTCTCTCCTGGAGGAGCTCAGTCAGACCCAGTGCGTACATGTGGCAAGACGCTCCTCGGGGCGCGTCTTGCTGGGGCTTCTCTCCTGGAGGCGTTCAGTCAGACCGAGTGCTGACATGTGGCAAGACACTCCTCGGGACGCGTCTTGCTTGGGCTTCTCTCCTGGAGGCCCTCAGTCAGACTCATTGTTGACATGTGGCAAGACGCTTCTCGGGGTGCGTCTTGCTTGGGCCTCTCTCCTGGAGGCGCTCAGTCAGACCGAGTGCTAACATGTGGCAAGACGCTCCTCGGGGCGCGTCTTGCTTGGGCTTCTCTCCTGGAGGCCCTCAGTCAGACTCATTGTTGACATGTGGCAAGACGCTCCTCGGGGCGCGTCTTGCTTGGGCCTCTCTCCTGGAGGCGCTCAGTCAGACCGAGTGCTGACATAAGGCAAGACGCTCCTCGGGGCGCGTCTTGCTTGGGCCTCTCTCCTGGAGGCGCTCAGTCAGACCCAGTGGTGACATGTGGCAAGACGCTCCTCGGGGCGTGTCTTGCTTGGGCCTCTCTCCTGGAGACGCTCAGTCAGACCCAGTGTTGACACGTGACAAGACGCTCCTTGGGGCGCGTCTTGCTTGGGCTTCTCTCATGGAGGCCCTCAGTCAGACCTATTGTTGATATGTGGCAAGACGCGTCTCGGGGTGCATCTTGCTTGGGCCTCTCTCCTGGAGGCGCTCAGTCAGACCGAGTGCTGACATAAAGCAAGACGCTCCTCGGGGCGCGTCTTGCTGGGGCCTCTCTCCTGGAGGCGCTCAGTCAGACCCAGTGCTTACATGTGGCAAGACGCTCCTCGGGGCGCATCTTGCTTGGGCCTCTCTCCTGGAGGCCCTCTGTCAGCCCCAGTGTTGACATGTGTCAAGACGCTCCTCGGGGTGCGTCTTGCTTGGGCCTCTCTCCTGGAGGCGCTCAGTCAGACCGAGTGCTGACACGTGGCAAGACGCTCCTCGGGGCGCGTCTTGCTTGGGCTTCTCTCCTGGAGGCCCTCAGTCAGACCCATTGTTGACATGTGGCAAGACACTCCTCGGGACGCGTCTTGCTTGGGCTTCTCTCCTGGAGGCCCTCAGTCAGACTCATTGTTGACATGTGGCAAGACACTCCTCGGGACGCTTCTTGCTTGGGCCTCTCTCCTGGAGGCGCTCAGTCAGACCGAGTGCTGACATAAGGCAAGACGCACCTCGGGGCGCGTCTTGCTTGGGCTTCTCTCCTGGAGGCCCTCAGTCAGACCCATTGTTGATATGTGGCAAGACGCGTCTCGGGGTGCATCTTGCTTGGGCCTCTCTCCTGGAGGCGCTCAGTCAGACCGAGTGCTGACATAAAGCAAGACGCTCCTCGGGGCGCGTCTTGCTGGGGCCTCTCTCCTGGAGGCGCTCAGTCAGACCCAGTGCTTACATGTGGCAAGACGCTCCTCGGGGCGCGTCTTGCTTGGGCCTCTCTCCTGGAGGCGCTCAGTCAGACCCAGTGGTGACATGTGGCAAGACGCTCCTCGGGGCGCGTCTTGCTTGGGCCTCTCTCTGGGAGACGCTCAGTCAGACCCAGTGTTGACACGTGACAAGACGCTCCTCGGGGCGCGTCTTGCTTGGGCTTCTCTCATGGAGGCCCTCAGTCAGACCCATTGTTGATAAGTGGCAAGACGCTCCTCGGGGCGCGTCTTGCTTGGGCCTCTCTCCTGGAGGCGCTCAGTCAGACCGAGTGCTGACATGTGGCAAGACGCTCCTCGGGGCGCGTCTTGCTTGGGCTTCTCTCCTGGAGGCCCTCAGTCAGACCCATTGTTTACATGTGGCAAGACGCTCCTCGGGGCGCATCTTGCTTGGGCCTCTCTCCTGGAGGCCCTCTGTCAGCCCCAGTGTTGACATGTGTCAAGACGCTCCTCGGGGTGCGTCTTGCTTGGGCCTCTCTCCTGGAGGCGCTCAGTCAGACCGAGTGCTGACACGTGGCAAGACGCTCCTCGGGGCGCGTCTTGCTTGGGCTTCTCTCCTGGAGGCCCTCAGTCAGACCCATTGTTTACATGTGGCAAGACGCTCCTTTGGGCGCATCTTGCTTGGGCTTCTCTCCTGGAGGCCCTCAGTCAGACCCATTGTTGATATGTGGCAAGACACTCCTCGGGACGCTTCTTGCTTGGGCCTCTCTCCTGGAGGCGCTCAGTCAGACCGAGTGCTGACATAAGGCAAGACGCACCTCGGGGCGCGTCTTGCTTGGGCTTCTCTCCTGGAGGCCCTCAGTCAGACCCATTGTTGATATGTGGCAAGACGCGTCTCGGGGTGCATCTTGCTTGGGCCTCTCTCCTGGAGGCGCTCAGTCAGACCGAGTGCTGACATAAAGCAAGACGCTCCTCGGGGTGCGTCTTGCTGGGGCCTCTCTCCTGGAGGCGCTCAGTCAGACCCAGTGCTTACATGTGGCAAGACGCTCCTCGGGGCGCGTCTTGCTTGGGCCTCTCTCCTGGAGGCGCTCAGTCAGACCCAGTGGTGACATGTGGCAAGACGCTCCTCGGGGCGCGTCTTGCTTGGGCCTCTCTCTGGGAGACGCTCAGTCAGACCCAGTGTTGACACGTGACAAGACGCTCCTCGGGGCGCGTCTTGCTTGGGCTTCTCTCATGGAGGCCCTCAGTCAGACCCATTGTTGATAAGTGGCAAGACGCTCCTCGGGGCGCGTCTTGCTTGGGCCTCTCTCCTGGAGGCGCTCAGTCAGACCGAGTGCTGACATGTGGCAAGACGCTCCTCGGGGCGCGTCTTGCTTGGGCTTCTCTCCTGGAGGCCCTCAGTCAGACCCATAGTTTACATGTGGCAAGACGCTCCTCGGGGCGCATCTTGCTTGGGCCTCTCTCCTGGAGGCCCTCTGTCAGCCCCAGTGTTGACATGTGTCAAGACGCTCCTCGGGGTGCGTCTTGCTTGGGCCTCTCTCCTGGAGGCGCTCAGTCAGACCGAGTGCTGACACGTGGCAAGACGCTCCTCGGGGCGCGTCTTGCTTGGGCTTCTCTCCTGGAGGCCCTCAGTCAGACCCATTGTTGACATGTGGCAAGACACTCCTCGGGACGCGTCTTGCTTGGGCTTCTCT